ACCTCCAGTCTCAAAAATAAAGGGGATGACATCAATGAAATTAAACAATTATAGGCACAAACAAAAAGAAAGTCTTGCAAAGCCTGCCTGCTTATGAAACAAACTATACTACCAGCACACTGCTGCAAAATGCCAAGTCCAGAAAGTCTTTGAACCATCGCTAACTTATTTAGAACGATAGAGAAAAGCTAGCACTCTCTGCTAAAACACCAAATTTTGACACATGAATCCTCTTTTCTGTCAGGGTTATTTAAGCAAAACCACATTTTAAGATTAAGTTTCCTAAGAAAATGTTTATAGGGCTGGAATAACAACATCATTGTCCACTGTTACTGGTTTTGTCATTAATATTAATTGTATAGCAAATCACACTATCAAGCTATGGTATTCCTCACATACTTCTGTGGAGTAGACAACTGTGTGATATTGCCAGGCTCAGGTAGGTCCAGGGGCTCTGCGCAGGACAGGACCATGTCAGCTAGATGCCGCAGTACAGGTGCAGTCCATAGCACATGGCAGTCATCTTTACACCACATAATGCACACAAAGGGGCCAGCAAAGATACAGCCAAGAGGGGTCTGCTCAGGTGTGGAAGAGCAGCTGCTGTTGGCACACTGAATGAACTGTTGAGGTTTTGCTCATGCGCAAAAGCGTTGGGACCTCACGGTGATAGGACTCCCTTCCTCCCTGTGAATGGCAGGCGGGTCATATGCTTATTCCCCTCCCACTAGAAAAACATTATGAAAACAATCTGTCATTTGATTTGAGTGATCAGGATTCGTCACTACACATTTCACTTCATGTATTGAAGAGACAAAAGAGAAAAAGTAAAAAGTAAAAAAAAAAAGTAAAAAGAGAAAAGTAAAAGTAAAAAGACATTTCACTTCATGTATTGAAGAGACATTTAGAAAAAAGTAAATCAAACATGTCAAAAGAGTATATGATCCATCATTGCAAAAAGGATGAAGAGGTCTCAACTGGATTTTGAAGAAGGACTGTCTAGTGATCTATTTTTTCTGTGCTGAATTCCACTCACTGTTCAATCCCAAAACACTGTCATCATTTTTTTTTCTTTTTTAGCTAGAAGATTATTTTTCGTTTGCATGGTAACAAATGTGAGCTGGAAAACAAGATCTGAATAAAGCAAAGACTGAGTCTGACCAAGACCGGGACACAGCTGAAATTAACTGCTGCAACTATATATTCAGTGGACAGCACCAGCCGAGGAGGTGACCTGTCTAATGTAGCCCTATTTGAAATGTAAGGCTCGGTCAGATGTCTACGGGAAGACAAAGAAGAAGAAAGTGATACTTAAAGGAAGATAAGGAAGATTAATTCTTCATCCGCAGTAAACCAGGGTCTTTTTTTTTTTTTTTCTCCTTCTTCTCAATTTGGAAACTTCTAAATCACATAGTGAAATGCTGAAAGGTTTTTGTTCTCCCTGCCATAGCTCTATACATTCCGTACGGAGACTGAAAATCCATTTGTCCTTCCTTTTTAGATTTTCCTGTAGTTTGGGCATTCACCAACTCATTCACGCATTTGTAACCATTCCCCCCTAACCAATAGTATGTGTGAGTAAGCCAACACACAGTCCTAAATGTTAGCATGAGCAAACCCTCTATTAACAGCAGACCACACTGAGATTCTGCAGGTTTGAGATACTCATGTCACTTCCAACACTGCAGGAACAGCATTAGCAACTTGGTATCCTGAGAGAAGCAAGACAAACTCAAGGATAGTCTATAGCACGAACAGAAAATAGGAAAGCATTAAATTAGCTCCTTAGAGGCAGCATTGCCTAACATTGTTCCAGCGGGACAGCAGGCACAGCCACGAGCCGCTAAGAGTCACGCTCTGCCTCCACCTGACAGAACAGGAACCACTTGGTAGCTCTGCCTGGCCAAGAGGAACCATCCTCATAAAGCCCACGCTCAACAACCTCCCACACTCTCTGTTGCCTTTGGTCATGCATGTTTTGAAGCCAGGGAAAATGGATTTTTTATGTCTCTATACCACCAAAATTTTTGTGTTTAGAACTAAGACCTTTAGAGGCACAAGGGAAAAAAAGCCCATCGAAGATGAACATCTGTCATGATTCTTACTCTGTAATGCTGGGAAGAAAAGTAACTGAGCTCCAGCAACAAAGCAGGTTGGGCCTTGCATCACCCATTGTAAATAGCAGGGCACTGGAACAGGACGACACGCCTGCTTGATGCTGAAGAAAAGCCTGTTTGTGCCTATTACGCTGGAGATTTTGTACATAATTTTAAAACATGAATTATGTTTCTTGGATTTTTACATAATCTTTTATGCTAAAGTGAAAAGCTCATGCAGTATGGCACCTGACTTGGTCCCACTAGCACTTTCAAAAAGGCAAACTTGAGTTAGCCAGTTGGGGAAAGAGGAAGAACCATGGAAATGGAGGTCTGAAAGTACTTAAAGCGGTTGTCCAAATCTCTGCTCAGGTCTGATTCTGTGGTGTATAATCTCCCAGATCTTACAGTTTGAACAATCACCATACTACAGTGAAAGTAATGCAGGAGTAAGTGCTCTGCTGTGTTCCACAAGAAACAGCTCTTGACAGTGAGGACAGTTCTATTCACTTTTTATTTGCCAGGCTCCAACTCTTCAACTCACCCATTTAAATTAAATACAAGTCAATCACAGAATGCCATAAGAGTGCCTAAGAAATAAAGATTTTATATGCAGAGTAGAGAGAGGTGACTACATAACAGTTACAATACAACCAGAGTTCTTTATTCTACATATGTACATACGCTTCCCTGCTATTCTTGTCGATACATCTCTGTGTGTCTAATCAATAAAATAACATTCTTTTTCTTGCACAGCAACAAAGGGAACTTATCCCTTAACTGTGATGAGGACACTTTCTCCCTGTCAGGAAACTTTCAGAACATTCCCTTCTGCACGTGGAACAAGAAGGTGCAAATGCTACAGCTTTTGCAGCAGCTCCATCTGTAGTACTGAGATAGGCAAGCTCAACAACAGCCTTCAGTGCATGTTCCCTGCACACTGTTTTCAGTGGCAAAGAGCAAGCACCGAGAACTACCCTGAAGTGGTGAAATGTCCTCATAGCACAGTCCATGAGCAACAACACAAGCCAGAAAAAGACTCTCTCAAATGCATTTAAATACCCACAGAGGTAAATAGGCCTTGAGTGGTGCTTTCCAAAGCACAGAAACTGCCCAGCTGTCCCTGGTTTCCTTCAAGCAAATATTGTGATAAGCTTCAGCTGGTGACCAGTCTGTCACCAAGCTGCTTCTTCGCACTGGAACTAGCCTCTTCCTTAGACAGACTCTGCATGAGGAATCTGCCACAAAACCCCATCCTAACTTGCTTTGTCCTGGCTCTGCCAGTCCATGGAAGAGGTACAAGGCTGTACCACAAGCACCCAAGCTAGTTAGACAAAAATACATTTTTGGAGGCACCAAAAGCAACAGTAAGTGGGGAGTTTATGGTGCCCAGCACCTTGAAAGAACAAAAAAATTTACAGGCAAAAAAATCAAAAAATTATTGAAGTAGTTTTCTGCTCAGAAAAGCACCTGGTGATTTTGTGACTAAACACTTTCCTCACTTTGAAAGGTAAAATATGAATTATTTTCCCAATTCGGTAAAGAACAATCAAATCAATAACAAAACTATCCAATATTCCACATACATTACCATGTTAGAGGCCAGACCTTGCACCCTTTTTCTGGAGGATAGGAATAACTAAAGATGCAGAATTAACCTCTTATGTGCCCACAACAATCTTGTGTAGTAGGTAAGTACCATTTTTCAGAAGGAGAAACTTTTGAAAAGAGGTGAATTTTCCTTCCTGAAGCTTCACAGCAAGCCTGGGAGCAGCATTCAGGTTGTGCCTTGACCTGACCATGTCTTTCCACTACAACACGTTACCTTACTTCCCTCTCACGTTGTCTCCCGGGCTAATACAAAAATCCAGCTATCACTGGCAAAATGCACTCAGTCCAGCATCAGTCTTTATGCAGACTTTTGCCACCTCAGAAATGAGAGCTGTGATGGAGAACTGATAGCAGTTGTAAACAGGTGCTAGAAAAGCCTTTTCTCACAGGACCTGATCTCCAAAGTACATGAGACAACTCCCATTGCTGTTAGCTAGTCGAAGGCCCAGAATCTGGGTCCTTAAATATTTACAAGGCTATTTCCACTTTAATTAGAGCCCCTTTTCAGGCCCTGTCTCCCTTCTAGAATTCTAGAGTTACTTGATAAGGCACTTCACAGTCTAAATCAGGAACTTACATGATAGATGTGAAGTCCTGTAGGTCACCTGTCACTTCCAGACTGGCACAAACCAAGCACTGATTGGCATGTGAAAACACATGTACCTGGGTCCAAGACACAGATTGACTCATTGTCTTACCAATCCCACAGTGCAAGAAAAATAAAGCCAGCCTTACCTCTTCATTCCCCAAGAGAGCACCAGAATCATGGCCAGTGAGGAATTATGTTACCTCAGTCCTCAACAAGGGTGTCTAAGTGTGGTGAGACTGGGAGGAAAAACAGGCCAATGGAAAATGTAGTTGAATATTGATTTGGAAGGATTCCACCACATAGATGGAGGCCAGACTAAAATATAACGTAACATAACTGAACGCTTTCTTACACTAGGCAAGTGACAGCAGAGGTTTCTCTATACCACTACTGACTTGTGGATGTAAGACTTAATAACTTGTCAGTCCTTACATATATGCAGTGTTCTGTTAATGATTTACTGATTTACAAGTACATATTACTCATACAACAGTTTAACCCATTTGATACAATAACCTGCCTTCTCTTTATTTGGAACAAGATAAATTCTACATCTCCATGTTGATTGGAGGTACATTGGATCACTTGATCATACCTGTGATCCAGACACAGATACCCCAGGTGATATAATTAGACTTCATTTTTGACTTCGATAAGTTTGAATTTGGTCGTGCCACATCTGACATGTGACTCCAAGCAGCAGACATCTAGCCCTGGATCTAAAGTGGTGACAAGACTCTCTACAGGTCTTCAGGCAATGGGGAGTAGGATAAAGAGTCCTTTCCTTGTCTGATGTGTGCATTCTTCACTGCTCACTGCTTAGCGTGTTGTTTGCCCAGGTTGGGAATGTGTCCAGGTCAAATAAAGGCCTTCCCCATGTGTTGATGGCCAGTGTGACACAGAAGACTCCAATGATGTTCATCACTATTCCAGATTTAACCTGCCCAAAAAAAAAAAAAAGGCGCCAAACTGTCAAAAACCAAACAAAATAGCAAATAACGGCCCTCTGTTCACACTTCAATGGAAATACTGGGGACTGTGCAAAGCTTTTGAGCACTCATTGTGTAATTAGTCCAGGAACTTTAAGTAATGTAAAACACATTTCTTTTATTAAAGCACAGTTTCTGCCCCTGCACATCTCCAATTAGAAAACTGGCCATGTGTGGGCAGAGAACCTGGCACTGTGTGGTCTAGCAGACAATCAGAGGACCTCAGCCTAGGACAACTGACCAGTATCTTCTGCTTTCGGCTCCTGTGGAGTCACAGTCAAGCCTTTAGTTATACTCGCCAATTCCCTAGGCCCTGATTGCAGTTTAGCCCTTCTGTGTTTGAGACTGGTGATTTGCCAGTCTTGAATTCCAAACTGGGCTGTTTGTCTGTGGAAGCCTGTGAACAAGGTACTATTGCTTTAGGGATGCAAATTCTTATTCAAATATTAATGGCTTACAAGAGAGGGACATCTGGAGCTGGTTGTTGCCTATAAGGGCCCTCTAGTACTTTGGAAGTATTAAGATAAGTAAACAAGAAGAAGCTAAAAAAATTAAGCTTACATCATATTCTAGGCTAAGGGAGAATTTTAGAGAAAAGAAACAGAATCCTCTTACCATATCCAAAACACGGATGTGGCCGTAGGAGAACACTATTGCATTTGGAGGTGTTGCAACAGGTAACATGAAAGCAAAGGACGCACTGAGAGTAGCAGGCAGCATAACATACAAAGGATTGATCTTGATAGATGTGGCCTGCAGTACAAGATAAAGAGTCATCACACTGGAGGCATTTCAGAAGGAAAAGCAGAGAGAACGTACTCCAGAACTTTGACAGAAAGAGATTTTAAACTTACCAAGGACGAAAAAATAGGAAGGAAGAGAGTGGCAGTGGCAACATTACTGGTGCATTCGGTGAAGACAGCTATAGCAAATGAAATTATTACAGCAATGGCCCATGGTGGGACAGATCCTAGCGTAGTCATCTGCTGACCCAACCAAGCTGAGAGCCCAGAGTCCTGGCAAGCATAAAAAGTGTTTTTCAGTGAGGCTTAGAAACCTTGGCTTAGGAACAAGGAACTATCACTATGTATAACGTTCTTGGCCAATAATACTAAAGGATGCCTGAAACCAGACACTTGAAAGGCACAGCTAGATCATGCACAAATTGAAGAAACAACATTCACAGAAGTAAAATGTTATTTCTCAGACACTAAGGGAAATTCCTTACCAACTAGACATGATACTTAGTCCCACTTTTTTTGATTTTCCTGGAACCCAAATACTTGCTCACACTTTGACTACTGAGATCTGTTTTTTTGCTAAACATGACATTATTTCTGAGAGTACTGCAAATAATTAATGAACCACTCACAGGATATATCCTCCAATATATCCTTCTAAGGTTTCTGAGGATCCTGACTTTGTGTAAGTGCTCTGAGTATTAACAGGGATTGACACAAACATCTTACAAAGCCTTCTGCTATTGAGCCAAGTGGACAGGACCACAGGCTGTGGCCACCAGGTCCAAACACTGAGGAATATTGCACTCCAAAGCTTTCATTTATCATATGGTTTTAAAACTTACTAGACAAAATTTAGACCTTAATAGGAATTTCCCCAAAGTCTGGCACTGTTGAAATTTAAAGCTTTGATTTAGACCCATCTTAGTAGCGATTAAGTTATCAACATGATTAGCCTCAAGATTCTTGCCTGTTTCAGGAACTCATCTGTTTTTTTTTGTGAATTTATGAACACTGGATCAAACCATGGGCTTACAGAAAGCAATACCTCACTCGACAGACTCAAAGATTCGAGAAACCCTAATGTAAACAATTATGGAAATATCTACCCACCAGGCATTTATTCCTGACCACTTCAGTAATGGTTTGGTTTAAATATGCAGATTTACACCTCTAGAGGTTCTGAAACTTTCATACGTATTTTCTACTTCTATTTTTCTAAACAGGGCTGGAGCCAGGGCAACAACACAAACATTGCTCTTCTAGTCTGTTCAGCCTGTGAAGATCCCAAACTATTTGGTAGACTCCAAGAGCCCAAACACATTGGAGAAACTTGATCGAAGAATACAAATTCCTGAGAAGGAGACACAAGAATTCAACTCTCCTTCCACTTTTAGATCTTCATTGGGCCTGAATTTGGGTACGTGTGGGACAAGATGACAAACGAGGGAAGTCTGTCTTTAAGTGGGAGACATATATGTCAGAACATACTGCGCTTGCATCGGCCAAAGCGAAGCCTCCTCCCAGCAGCAGCACAACGCTCCAAGGCATCTTCCTCTGAACTGCATTCCACTCTAGCAGCGGGGCTGATAAAAATGGCTTTGTCAAATCTGAAGTGAGAAGTGAAAAGCAGAACTCTTGTTGGGAGAGTGCAAAGATTTTGGCTCCTGATCCACAAGACTCTAGTGGAGACCTGCAGGCAGAGGCACGTTACTGGGAAACCCACACATCTCAGGGTAGTAGTGGTAATGAATGGGGTCCGTGCACCAGTCCTGACCAAGAAGTGAGGGAGGAAGCATGCAATTCCAGCACATATTTCTCTCAATACCATTAGCAGGAGCCTGGCAACAATTTCACAATTCCTCTTTAAAATACCTTCTTCAGCCTCCTCAGGGTCAGAACTGCTTTGATTCCATTTCATGAATTTGGGTTTACTGGCAGGAAGGATGAATAGTAGCAGGGCAATAAAAACAGCAACAGTGGCATCACTGACAAACCTAAAGAAGAAAAAGGAGATAAATTAGAAATTAGGATACCCTTCCAGCACTGCAAGTGATTCTGTGGTTGTTTTGCCATCACAGCTGTAACGTTCTTAACATGGCAGAGCCATTACATAAAGGAGACATTCAAATCACAGAACTAGTTTTCCAGGTTCTCTATACACTATTTTTTAGAGATGGTATTACCAAATGCTCGGTGACACCACAACTTATTGAAGCTCCTACAAATAAATATGAATGAGTACATCAATGTGATAGAGACTAGAATTACAGAATTTTCTCTTCCTTTTGGAGGTTCAGCTTGCTCCATGTCTCATTCTCTCATCTTCGTTGTACTTTGAACTGTCAAAGATCATTTTTTGATCTCACATCCAAGAGGTAAGACATGCCCAACAAACACGAATTCAGAAAAGGCTGGGATGAATGGCCCCAGAAGTCAAAGATGAGTCTAAGAGAATGGGGATATACTCATTGATAAAATGGTACAAGATGAAAAACAAAACAAAAAACTTACTTTTCTCCTTTTGGGAAGAGTCTTGAGGCCCAGCCTGTTATAAAGCCTGGGTGTCTGCTAAACCATAACAGAACTAGCAAAACAAATATCACAATGATATTGAATTCAGCATAAGAGATAGGGCCTAATTTCTTCATTTCTGCCTTCAGCACATTGTACGCAGCTTTTTCTTTAGCAGTTTTCTCTGTTCTGCAGCCCCAGCTTTTTTTAAAGCTTTAAGAAAAAAGGAAGGAGAAAATACTGTAAGTATTTACATACTAGGGAGATTTAACAGGTTTTTCACTTCACTCAAAAGCTGCTGTGAAATGGAATTGTTGTCTGCTGCAAAATTATCATAGCCTGTCACTGGGCTTCTCACTTGTCACAAGTCCAGAAACTTGTTCTTAGTGAGTTCATCTATTCAATACCATATAGTTCATACTTACTTGAGGCCCATGAAAGAGCACTGTAGCCAAAGCCAAGCTAGTATCAACATCAGAAGCATGTTTGGGAATGCAAACCCAAACCAGGAAGCAAAATTCACGACATCATTGTTGTTGGGGTACAACCTGAGAAGAACAGAACGATGCTTTCTCTACTGTCAAGACATTTAGGAATCCACCTTCTCTATAATATGTGCTAGTAAGAATTAGCTAATCACAAACAATCATTACAAATAATTTTAGGCAACATATATATCTTACCGAAGTCAATAAGAAAAAAATCCCTGAATTTCAGAGCAGGTCTTAAATCATCCTCAATTAATTTCACTGCATTTTACCCTGATGCATAGAGCAGCTCACTGTTGCTTTTTTAGGCCTCAGTAAAGCAAACACTGCTAAAAAAAAAAAAAAAAAAAAAAAATCCTACACCTTCTAGGTACTTCTCATTTCCAGCACACCTGCTCATTTATTCTCCAGCAACATGTTGCTTTCCTCCTCCCTGTCTGTAATGCTAGAGGAGACAATTCTTGCTCTCCTACTTGCAATTAATAGCTGCACTTCAGCTAACTTCAACAGAAGACAAAGTTGCTACTAGGCTTAAAAAAATGAAGGCAGAGTTTTAGTAGCAACAACTTTTCTCTGTACCTCCACCAATGATATTTGGAGAAAAAATATAAATAGCAAATTTTCAGCTGGGTCTTGGAAGTTTTGCTTTGGCTAGTTGGGTGTTAAAACCAATGAATAATGTGGATGCTGAGGCTCAGATTCTCCAAAAGAAGGAAGTAATGTACAGCAATTGGTGTGGAATCTGTAGACTTTCCCCTGCAGAGATGATTGCATTTAATTCAATTCTCAAGCTCAGCAAGACAGTGTTTTGTGCATATCTGCTTTACAACAAGATCCATGCAGTTTCCACAGCACGGAGGAACAACCTTACAGGAGTTTCCATGCTATTTTTAGCTCTCTCTGGTGTGCTTATGAGAAGCGGTAATCATACATTCTTGTCATGCTCCTCTCCGCAGTTCCTCTGATGTGCTGCATTTCAATTGGGAAGGAGGAGACAGAAGAACCAACACCTCTCTGCCTTAGAAAGGCTGCAGCAGCAGAGTGAGGCCTGTCACTTTATACATAGTGCTCACTCTCAGTTTATCAACTGGTTGTTGCTTAGAGTTTGGAATTGAAGCTGTGGACTAAGACTTTAGCCTGTTCTGAGAAACTCAGAGAGTGCAAGTGGAAGGAAAAGCAAGAATCACTTACTGATTAATTTGGCCTTTCAACACAAGATTTGGCCCTGTTCCAGTGAGCGTTGCAGTTCCTCCAATGCTGGCAGCATAACATATACAAAGTGTCATTCCCTTACATATACGTTTCTTCATTTCCTTTTCCTCAGAAGATGTGGGGTCATCAGGGACTTGTCCATTGCTTATGACTAGACAAAAGGAACAGGTAAAGTGAGGGAGGCAGAGAGTTCAAGATCATTGCTTATGACTAGACAAAAGGAACATAACTTGCCTCAGGTAAAGCGAGGGAGGCAGAGAGTTCAAGACAGGGTCTATAGACTCAGTGCTTCTGGTTTGTCTATGCCATTTATTTTAATTTTTAAAGATAATAATATTTTAGACTCATGTTCATGACAAGCTGTTACGATGCTAGCACAAGACTGATAGCCCTGGTCTACATGTCTCAAGAATACTGCGCCACAGCTTCCCAGCAGCAATTTCCTATTTCACAGAGAAGCTTAACACTGTCTAGATATCTCACTCACTGGAACACTTTCAGTGCCAGAGTAAGAACCCAACTAGCTTTGACTATTATGGATATGGCAGAAAACAAGCAAACAGGAAAAAAAAAAAAAAAACACTTGTCTGATGCAAGTGCTGAAGTTAATGTGTTATGTCAGTTTACATCAAATATGAAATTTTGCTGCTGTGTCCATTGTTCTCTGATATTAACAAACTATCTTAAAGTCTGACTGGACTAACTGAGCAGGACAAGGCATTTATGGCAATTATAAGCCACTCGATGCTTAAGAATATTTTTCACACAAACTGGTTACCTTCACTATAAGTTAGGGGTAAACTAGTAAGCAAGGCCAAGCAGTTCCTTCTAAGAAGACAGAAATCCAGCAAAATTATTATTACTGATGTGACAGAAGAATTCTGTTTGGGAGAGCCAAGAATCAACATTAAAGAGGGCATTTGCAAATATGAAAACTTGTTTTCAATACAACTGTTCAGAATCTAGAAACTAGCAACCTTATCAAGCACTCTGTGGCTAGGGGGCTTTTTTTGTGGATTCGCATATCTCACATAAGCATAATGCCTGAGCTTCCCACAGCCATAGTGCATCCTCCTTCCACAAACGAGGTAAGAATCCAATTCAGAGAAGATCAAGGTCTTGTCTAAACAATGCTTCGAAGACCAGATGAATATGGACGTTGTGGCAGCCTCATAGCAGGGCAGTGTCTGGTCGCACATGGGCGCCGTTCTCCCTCACAATGGGCGTGTGATCCACAAGAGGGGAATGGTTTATCCCAGGCAGAAGGCTTGAACTATGGGACATGGCACACACTACCAGCATTTGCACTCATTCTTGCACAGTCACACAGGGAATCATAGCTGAACAATTTGCTAGTTCAGTGAAATCACATCTCCTTGAAAATGCCCAGGATAATCCTTCCTCCTTTGAAAGAGAAAGGCACCTCTGTTCATCAATGATACAACACAGCCCTCCGTACCAGAACAGCAAGCCAGCGAGAGAGAGAATGTGTGAGTGGGTCAAGTCAAGTGCAACTTATTGCAGAGTCTGAGCACAGACAGAAGGAAGGGAGGAGTCAAGCCGCAGGATAAGATCATATTTTAGTTTGCCAAAAAACAGTTTATCTACAAGTAGAAGAGAAAGCTCTTGTTCAAATGATGCTGAATTCCCCCTTCACATAGCTTTTAAAGTATTCCGCCTTCTTCCCGATGTCTTTGCACATGTTCTGGTCAATAAAGGCATATTTATGACACCAGGACCATAATAGGTTGAGACTGCACAAAGTGTTTCAAATATTCTTATCTGAATTAGGATCTCAACATCCACCAATAAAAAACACAGGATGCTGGGAATATTGAAAGATATTTCTCACAGAATGGTTTTCACATCCCTGAGCAGGCAGTTAATTCCAGGGAAACTGGGGAGGGATGAGCTCTGCTTGCAAAAAAGACAAAAAATCTGTGTTGGATCTAGAACTAAGAACAACAAAATGGCAGCCACCAGTATGAAGCCGTTTTGGAAAACCTGCATGTGATGCGTTTCAGGGTTTCCATTCAAGTTACCATTCTCTCTCCTTGGGAAAGGTCCATAGGATTTGCCTAAGGCCAGTGAGCTCTGCGTTTTGCAACTTCAGGGGTATCACCCTGTTCCTTAGCAGTCCCTTACCCTGCACTGAAGTGGGATCAGATGTGTCCTTTTCCTCCAACTCAATCACTGCATTAATTTGCCCGCTGGCTGCTTCTGTCATTCTGAGATCCTGCTCTGCATTGTCCATTTGGTCCAAGACAGCCTGCACAATGGGAACCATCATAGCAGTGGTGGCTGTGTTGCTTATCCACATGGACAGGAAGGCAGTGACTCCCATGAATCCCAACATGAGGCTGGAAAGAGAGAAACAGGCAGAGGAGGGGAGGGGAAAAAAAAAGTCACTGCTAGTCAGTACAGTCATTCTGACCCAGAAAGCAGAGCCCAGACAGCAGTGTGTGTAGCAATGTGAGAAGGATCCAGTTCTAAGAAGGTCCCAATTGCCAGAGATATTCCCTAGAATATCTCTGCCACCTCCACTGAAGGGATCCCAGAAAGGCATTGGATTCCTTGGTCTGCATATGATTAAGTCTGCCATCTTTTTTTTTCCCAGCTGCAAACATCTAAATTTTAGCCAAACTAAAATAAAACGGTGGTTTTGTAAGAGCAAACCTTAAAGAAATGTTATTTTCCTGATTAGTACCATTAATACAGAAAACAAAACTTTTGGATCTTACAAATTTGGCTTTTGGCTCTAGATGCAGAATAGTGGACACGGGATGCTCTTCATCAGCACCACCTTTGCTAGATTTAACTCAAACCACAGAGCTGGGATCACTTAATCGTTTCAAAATGAGCATGTGAATATGGCTTCCTACGTGCTAACTGTACTTGCATTCACAGAGATGGTGAGGAGGACCCTGCATCGCAGGGTCCGTTATTGAGGTTATTCAAATTCCTAATTCACTTAATGAAAGACAGCACATACAGTAATAGGTCAGCTGGGTAATGCTAGCACAGTTAACATATAGTTTTACAGAAAGCAAGAGTAGGTTTAATCTCAGCTGACTTCATACATGAACAACATAGGTACCTTGATTCTACTTACTGCTTTGCAGTAGATGGACATAAATTGTCTGCCCTATTTAGATATCAAGTTTCAGGGGAGATGAACTTCATCTCTGGAAATGCCTGTCCCTTTTTGATGACTGCAGAGACTAACTATTTGAATCAGAAATGAATGCCTATGTTTGGAAAACTAAATTCCACCTGAACGCTCTCATCCAAGGATCAAACCATGAACTCAGTGAAAATTGTAAGAGAAGAGTTGGTTACTGAAATTAATATAAAAACATTTTAAGTCTATTCAAGACATTTAGCAGAAAACTGAGAAAATCCTAGCTTGGATCAGCTCATACTGAATCTGTGGAAATGCTCCTTGCAGCTCTTGAGAGAGCTGGCCACACTTTAGTCACAGGGGTTCTACTGTGATGTTGTTCTTGGTTAGAGGATGGTAAAGTGTTCCTGTGGACAGACTTCATCCCTGGTAACCCTGTATAAGGGCAACAAAAACATAATTGGAGCTTCCTTTCCATGCCACCCATTGCGCACCTTCCCTGGACCTCAGCTGACCTGACACAGGCTGGAAAGGGGTCAGGTAATGCTCTTACAATGCAGGTTTCACCCCAAGAATCAGCAGGACCTTCAGCGCAATCCTTTTGTGGAGATTCCACTGTTCAACAGCAATTGCGACAATAAGCCCCCCAATGAAAAGCATGTTTGTTTCCTTTAAGTACTGCAAGCACACCTGAAACAAAGAGAAGGTAGGTCAGGAGCCTCAGTGCAGCCTCTTGCTTGTTTCACCAGCACACACCACCTTCCACCGTCCCATAGCCTTTCACCATACCAGACCCCACCCCAACATCATCAGCAGGAGCAGTTAGGTAAAAGGTAGGTAAAAGAGAAAAAATGAGGTAAAATAGAAAACTGTTGTCATTTTGTACTTAATGATTGTTAGGGGCTCAAAGCGTTGCATAGGTACCATGGATGCTACGCTCCAAAACAGATTTCTCAACACCTTGAGGACTCACGCCCTTCCCTGTTGCCTTCTTGGCCAGTAGTAAGCCTGGGCTACAGTACCTACAGATACAGCTTTACTCCCTTGGGCTAGAACACTGTCCTCCCCCTGGCACAGGCACACAGTCATACTTTAGCAGAATGAGCTTTGGAGGGGATACAATGCGCTTACTGGCAACATCTACCCTTTCAGAGGAAGTTAGCCCCACTTTGAAATCTGCTGTAGGATACAACTGCACTTAAAAGTAACAGTGGTCTCATAGGATGGATATGAACACACCAGCCTCAAAATCAGCCCCCTCTTACTGCATCAAGAATAACTCCACAGGCTCCTGGCATTACAGGGATATTCTCCAGCAGGATTCACAGATGGATTCACTTACAGATGGACTTTCCCCTCTATGACACTTTTATCTTCTGGCAAAAGTATATTTAGCTCAGCATGTTCACATACATGAATGCTGAATACTGGTTAGTATTTTCAAGAAAACCACCACAGAAGTGGCAGACATATTAAACCTATTTGCTGCGTATTGATTGAGGGATTGGAGCAATGGATACCCACATTGAATCTGAATTCATCCTTACTGTTCTAGAGTCCTGAACTCCAAGCAGAGGGAAAAATACAACAGGCATGAGAGAAGTAACCGCCAGTGGGATGACTTCAGTGCACCAGTACACAGCCATGACCATGATGACATATGCACATTTGGCCTCCTGCAATACAATGCAAGACACATTTAAGCATAGATATCTGTTCTTAAATATGAGAAACACTCCGATCTATTGCAAAGTGACCAAATTTTCCTTTGCTGTCAGCTTAACCAGGTATGCAGAAACAGGCTATAGGATCATGAGGATTTAAATTGTTGCACTTTGAGCTTTGTTCTGAAGTCATCTGCAAAAAAAAAACAGATTTTTTTTGCCTCAGTTGTTCTAATGCAGCCGCATGGAACGTAGGGTGTGAAGGAAAACCCTTCCACAGCCAGGTAAGCACACTGCTCCAGGTTCAGCTGCCTGTTGGCAGCCAGTGTAAGTAGGAGATTCCATCTTATCTGCTGCTCTAGAAGTCAATAACTTTTAATAGTGCTTATGGATTTGGGAGTGTATATTTTGAGTATTTATTTTAAAATGGATGGCTAAATTTCCCAGTGTAGATGCTTAGACTGTCTGGAACTGTTCTTGAGGTATATCTAGTCAGACACCTGAGCGCAGAAACAGACTGCATCTCTGAACAACTTAGAAGCTCTTAGGGAACTCTCTTATCATTTCTTTATGGCTAGGTAAATACTTATATATTAACTACAACATCCACAGCCAATTCAAACAACCAAAGTTATTGGATTAAATACATATATATGTGTGTGTGTGTGTATAAAACTATGATTTATAGGAACAGTCACAGAATGTTTCTTTGGTGTCTCTAGACAGTTCACAGGAAAGAGTCATCTGCCCTTTCCTCGGAGCTGAAGAAGCAGTTGCTGTGTTATACTCCTGTTGTGAAATACTGTAATTTCCCAGGTTAGAGTGGTGACACAGAATTCCTACAAATACTGGAAAATCAGAGAGATACTTCAGGGAAATCAGATTTCCTCATATTAATTGTAGCAATGCCTAACAGTCAGAAATCAATTTTGCTTTGAAGCCCCTGTGTTCAGCTGAAAGGCAGGGCGATATTACTTCCCCAGGGAAACCAGAAGGGGTGGCAGTGCTGTCTGCACACATGCATGAGACTTTTTTTGCTAGTGTAACATTGAATGACACAGGTCATTCAGCTCAAAGCTTGGTTTTAGCATTATGATTGGAATAGACTCCAAAGGTCTATTGCGCTAGAATACTGTAAAAGG